TTCCACCATCCTGCCCTCTACAAGCATGTCCACAAACAGCACCACGAGTGGACCGCTCCCATTGGAATCGTCATCCACTACGCCCACCCTCTGGACCATGTAGTGAGTGAGCCCTCCTGCCCATCATTTCATTTTCTCTCTGTCACATTCTTGAACTCACTGCATTTGAGCATTATAGTGTTTATTTCACTGTCAGTGTGGACTGTGGAGAGTCTGCAGTGGCTGGGCTTCCCTCCCGTCCCCGAGCCCCCAGACTGTTACAAATAAATCAAACAGGATTCACCTTTCCATCTGAACAAACCTGATCCTCGTCCTCCTCTGCCATCAACCCTGTTTGTTTTTCCCGTTTGTTGTTAGATTGGCAGCATGCTGCCGGTGTTGATTGGGCCCTTGATCCTGGGCTCCCACATAGTCACTACCGCTTTCTGGTTCTGTCTGGTTCTGGTCTTCGCCACCAATATGCACTGTGGTTACCACCTCCCCTTCCTGCCCTCCCCCGAGTTCCACGACTTCCACCACCTCAGGTGAGTCCACCTGCCAAGTCTTGTAGGAGTGCTTTTACTGGGAGTTAGTGGGTTTTGTTTTATATTCATGTTTTGAGTGAGTTTAATTTTTTAAAATGAAGAAATTTATCAGTGTTTAATATTAATGTGTAGTTGAATCACTTTTTTGACTGGTTAGCACTGTATTTTATGGCCTAGTTAGCGGATAATGTTCTGAACTGTGCTGCTCAACACCACGCCCACTGGTTCTTACGGAATATGTAATTTATTAGGTCACAAAGATACTTTAAAACAAAAAGCTAAATTTTCTAAAACAGCTGTTAAACTCAAACAAGAGTAAATGGTGGATTTTTTGGGACTATTATTGAGGAGATTAATACTCATTTAGTGCAGTAGCAAGGCTTCATGGCATCAATGTTTGTAGGATAAACTACAGTCCAGGTTCATGGTGATAAAGGGACACTTAATTAATGGTAGGGTTGGCGATGGCTTTTGTCAGGGTTAAGTCACTGTCCCTTAACAGTGCTTTTCTTAAGCTTTCACTGTTGACGCCACACACTATCCTGTCACAGATTAACTCATCAGTCAATTCTCCAAAATGGCATGCTTTTTCTTTAATCCTGAGATCACTGATAAATGACTCCATAGTCTCAACCTGTTTCTGGTTTCTGGAGTGAAACTTGTGTCTCTCCATAGTTTTATTTTGTTGAGGGTTGCAAATTTCACAAAACTTCCCTTACAGGCATTCGGGATCCTCTCTTGATTCGGCAGGAGATAAAACGGCGCCATCCTCACCCGGTGCATGCACCTCTGCTGCATAGACGAAAGAACGCTCTCGTTCTATGGCCTCCGGTCCTGCGAGATTGAGGAGGATATAGGCCCTTGTCTTGGCAGGTTTATCGTGGTGCGCCGCCGGGATGAAAATATCATACTCCTGCTCAAAGATTCGCCAGTTGTCGGCAACATTCCCTTCGAAAGAGAGCGGGTCAGGCCTCCAAAAACAATCCGCCATGGTCACCACGTGGTATTGGGAAAACCTTCACGAGCAGTTTCTGCTGTCTACAAAAACCGTGTACTCGTCTTCTGACAGCATGTTGTTTGTCTCAGGAATTAACTTCAACTTCATGACTCCTACAAGTGAACATGATATTTTATTAACATGGTTCGTATTCGATAAAAAACAACGCGTTACATACACCCAGACTTACTGCTTGTCAGTTCCTGGTAGGTAGATCCCATGAGGGAGGGTCTGCTCTTAAAGAGCCCAACACATATAAAGTATAACATGTTAGAATACACAAACCACAATGTATTTCTGAACAGATCATTTATCACAATGATCTATAGTAACTTATGGTCAAGTATACTGTGCATCTGATGACCATTCATGCAAAAGAGACCAAGTGAAATATATCAACCCTCAAAAGCTCATGCCCAACAGGATGCTTCTTTGCGATTTTGACATTTAATAAAAGCCTCCCCATCAGACTGTCAGGTCCCTACAGTGTTCTTGAATGGACCAGATTTAATTAAAATTGCAACATCAATGTCTAAAACATTATGGTACACTAACATGGTGTCCTTTATTTACAGCACCCCCATAAGGCCAGTCACTATAAAATCTTCACTGAAATAAACTTAATGTCATAATATTCATAGCATACATCCACCCATTGTCCATATCTCTTATTCTATAGATGGTTACATGTCTTTGGATTATGGGAGCAAGCCCCTGCACGCACAAGAAGAACATGCAAATTCCTCATTGAAAGGCTACAGTCACCCTTGAGGTTCAACCTTAGAACCTTCTCGCTGTGAGGTAACAAATCAAACCACTGATCCACTATTCCACTACTTGCATCATACACTGTATGTACAATTCAGTTTTTAGAAATGATTCCAAATCAAATGACCTTCACTTGTTGGGACTTGTTCAGCGTAGGAGGGATATCAGTTCTGCTCAGTGGACGTCTGGGTGGTGACAGCACCATCATCAGGTCAAAAGTTTGATTTGAGCAATACTTCTGGTTTATAATATAATACCTGCAAACTGTCATTCTCATCAGCTTCATCCTCTGTGCTAATTTGTATCAGCATAGATTAGTATGACAACACACTAAACCAAGCTTTTAAACTTGTTAAACATTATTACCAGCTAGCCAGAGAGGGGAACTTGAGTTGACAACTTATACGTGATTAGAGCTCCTGTGGGGTTTTAGTCTAATCATATATACAGTGGTTTGCAAAAGTATTCATACCCCTTGAACTTTTTCACATTTTTTCACGTTACAACCACAAACTTAAATGTATCTTATTGGGATTTTATGTGATAGACCAACACAAAGTATTGCATAATTGTGAAGTGGAAAGAAAATGATACATGGTGTATGGCACAACTGCAAACCTACCAAGACATGGCTGTCCACATAAACTAACAAGGAGAGCATTAATCAGAGGAGCAGCCAAGAGGCCCATGGTAACTCTGGAGGAGCTGCAGAGATCCACAGCTCAGGTGGGAAAATCTGTCCACAGGACAACTATTAGTTGTGTACTCCACAAATCTGGCTTTTATGGAAGAGTGGCAAGAAGAAAGCCATTGTTGAAAGAAAGCAATA